CGATTGGTTTAAGGATATAAAACTGCGGTTGGACAAGAGGCATGGACTCTGTGAAGTCTTGAGGTCTACTGAGAGCATGATAAATATGGTTGATAACAATATGCTATATTTTAAAAGTTGTGAGATAGTATACTTTAAGTGTTCTCAAAACAAAAATGATGAATATGTGTGATATAACATGTTAATTGGTTTAATTTAACCATGCCATTGTGAACATACTGTATTGTGTATCATAATTTTGCATGACTTTATTTATGACCTAAATAAATGAATGGAAAAAAAATAAGTTGATGAACATAGTAGTAAAATCCACATCCCTAGCTAGCAATGCAGCCATCAGAGGATGTAGAAAGTGACTAGCCAGTGTATTAATACCATGCTGGTGACACATGGCTCCTTATGAATCCAGCACTGATTTAGTTAGTAATACAGTCAATATTCCAACCTACTTACAATGCCCATCTTGGCCATGGGCACATGTCCCCCTCGCACTGAAGAGGCAGTGAAAAGAGGATTGATAGCGGGTATGCTTACTATGATCAATGCCCTGAGTTCGATTCACAGCACCATGAAAAACAAATATACAAGCAAACAACCACAAAAGCATCATACCAAACCAATTCTAACCTCAGTGCTATAAAGAGGGCAGACATAATTCCATAAAATCTTAATGTTGATTAACAATTGCATATGAGAACATACTTTTTCTGGGTTTTACTTTCTGTGCATTTGATTTTCAAAATTATTTAGTAAATAAATTTACAGCATCTTCATCTATTCCTTCAGAATGGACTGAGTAGCTGAGCGAGGACTGAGAGTCTAGATGCCTGCCTGGCCATGGTTTCCTGGGAGAGACCATAAAATTTCAAAAGGCAGCATTTTCAAAGCTTGGGCATTGCTGAGTTTCAGACGACTTCTACCCCTGAGCTACACCTCCATGTTAAGACAATTTAATTATTGTTTTAAGTGCATAAGATGAAAAAATACCAAAGATAAAATTGATGCTTAAAATTTTCTCGTGCTCCATGTTGGCAATGATTATTTTTTGATACTTTGTTGCTAAGATTTTAGGACCTAAGATATCTTGAAGCAACTGCTGTCATAACCTGGAATGAATGGCCTTCATATGTGGCTTCTTACTGCCAGGATCAGAGCACCCCCAAAGTCAGGCCAAGGAAGGCTATCATTCTCAAGACTTCTTCATCTGTATAAGACCAGAGTTGACTTCATGCATGATGGATAGGGGCTGTTTAGGACTCTTGGTTAATGCTTGACATCAGTAACATAAATCATGAGGCATAAGTGTCCTTTGCATCGATGGTGGGATCAGACTGCCCACACATTCCTATAGGTTGGATTAAAGCCCTTGATGGTCCCTGCCGTCCACCCTTCTAATACCTTGTTGCAGCTTTTTCTGTGTTATCTTGGCTTCGTTTAACAGTTCATCGCTGTCAGAACTCAGGGTCTTAGCTCGTCTTGGAAGATCTTCCTTTATCAGTGTCTGAAAGCAAAATATTTATCAGCCGAGAGCAGACACTTTACCTTAGCAAACACGAGTCAGATTTTTCACCTTAGCCCCAAATCCCTTATCTTTAATCTTTAAAGAATAAGATTTGAAGGAGATGAGTTACACAGTGTTGCCTAATGATGTGGTTAGGGCTCTAGATGGATGTGCACCTGTGGCTTGCCCAGGTGGACCAATCTCTGGTGACAGATGGCTAAGCCCGTGCAAAACCCCTGCAATCATTTAGTTGCCTTGAGGCTTTCAAACTTTGGAACCTGAAAGTCTTCAATCTTTCAAAGCCCAACTTTCCAACCCTAATATTTAGTGTCCTATCCTTTATATCTTGGAAATGGGGATATTATACAGTGCAAAGATCCTGTAGGCCTCTACAGACATGCCCAGATTTAAGACCAAATCACACACACACACATAAAAGGCAACACAGTTAATTCCAAAATCTTTCTTTTGCTAAACATCACTTCTTAATTAAGGCATATAAACACCCAGTAAAAAGTAGGACATACCATTTGTTTAGGTTCAAAATTAACATTGGTATGTTTTCTCTCTGACTGTAAAAATACATTTTTAATCACACTCCTGATATCACATAGTTAGTAAATGCAGAGATCCATGCCAAGAATAAACTCAAGTTTATTACATATAGTTCAAGTCTATCACATATAGCAAGCCCTGACTTTGAATAAATACTATTTTTAATATTGTTCCATGCACAGAAGAGTAAGCAAATGAGATGCCTCCAGAGCCAGTCCAGCAAGCAGCCAGTGCTGCTTCTGGGACCCACCTGGAGGGCAGACTCCGAAGCACTGGTGGCCTTGTTGGCTGCATCCTCTGCTGCTTTGATGGCATTGAGGATGTTCTCATAGGCAGTGGCTGCATCCACAGCGCAGCGCACCAGCTCATCCCCGCTGGTGTTTCTCTTTATCCTGGAAGATGATACAGGGTGGGATGCTACCAGCATCTTTTCTCTGCCTGGGGCTACCATCCTCCCAATGATTGTACAACATAGCTGTGCACTTGCCATTCTGTCCCCAGGACACATCTGAGAGACAGATCTCATTGCAAGTGTGATTTTGATTTGGTCCATGGGTTCTGGATGGGGTTTTGGTCTTGATCCCACCCTCCACCCTGCTGCTGGGTCCTAGCCAGCCCACTGAAGACCTTGCTTGATGCTCAATCAGCCCATGGCATTTGGACCTCTGCAGCCAGTCACTCACTCTTCCAGCTGCTTTGCCAGCTCCTGTAAAGACTGTGCATGCTTCTCGGCCTCTACCACCAGGGATGTTTTGCTTGCAGATCTGGAGAGTTTTTGTACCTTGTCGCTTAGTTCCTGTCTTGCTCCATTTAAAGCTGCTGCTAAGCTTTCATATTCCTATTTTTTCAAATAAGCAAACAATATAAATTAAAGCAATGAACATGTATGCCATTTCCTCAGTCTCATTAGAAGTAATGCTTCTAATGAGAATTTATATTTTCTAAGTCATTTTTATCATATCAACTTATCCTTAGTTCAGACAGTGGCATTGACTATAATCCAAGTTTTGACACCGTCTTGAATATCTTTTTTCTGATGGATATCATCTTTATAAGGTTTATTGAGGAGAGGTTCTGCTAAATGGAAGGGCCTCTTATGATATAAAACAGATACTGGCAAAAATTCTTGCAAAATGCCCATAATGCTGCTAAGAAGTCTGCCAGGCTTTTATTAAGTCTTTGATGTCTTTCATCAAGAATGTCATGTTTGATATTTTTTAAATAGCATTACAATGTTTTTTGTTACCACAAAAGTGATTTGCCCATTGCAGCCAAATGAGGTAACATTGATAGATTTAAGGCAACCCCAGCATTCATGCCCCTGTCCCAGCAGAGAGTTGCTGTTACTATTTGGGGTCACGCAGTTCTACTCAAATTAAAAGTCAATAGGTTTGCCTATTGCATCATCTCCTGTCAAAAGCACTTGACTGGCTTGTGTTTCCTAGAGGACCAGTGTCCTTCGCTACCTTCTGGCTTTTGTCCATCTGCTGCAGTAGATTGTTGGTCTGCAGCAGGGAAGCATCTGCCGTGGCCAGGTACTTGGCAAAGTCATTCTTCAGGGAATTCATTTCTTTCATTTGTCTCTGGAGAGAATAAAAGAGCCTGTGTGCGCACACTCCATAACACATGAGCAGAAAGCACAGACATATTTATGGGACAACAGCAAATAAGTTGGGGTCAAATGTTTTCTTGTAGCTGACAATAGCCTAGCCTGCTTCAAGTGATGGGGCCTGGATTCCCATTGCACGTTGCTGTGCTGTTATGGTGTCCTCTCCTGCCATGGCTGAAGAAGCCTCACACGCTGGGAAGTTCTACTGGTGAGGTAGGTGGACAGAACACAACATTTTAACTAAATACATGAGCCAGAGCCAATCGCCTCTGCACACCAGTCCCAGTGAGCATGCGGTAGGTACTTCAATGAGAGATGGCATAGGGCAAGAATGTGCCAGGCCAGAAGGCTTAGAGGCTGGGACCCACACTGCTGGAGCCTACCCTCTTCCCTGGCATAACCAGAAATGCAAACAGAGATACTGCTGTCCAAGACAGCACCGAGCTGAGCGCGTCACCCGCTAAGGTGATACAGGTTTGGGTTTATCAGCTTCCTCCTCTTTGGTTGCCAATCCACATTATTCAATTCTGGTCCATCATTTGACAACCCTTTATGTGCTGTTGTTTTGGTGTAGAATAATCACCATCAAAAATAGAAACTATAGGGCTAGAGGTATTGGCTTGATGTTAAAACAATTGCCTAACATGGGCGCTGGGTCTGACTCCAAATGCTGCCAAAAGAAAGTCTCTGCCTGCTATCTATGTGTCTATCTATCTATCTATCTATCTATCTATCTATCTATCTATCTATCTATCTACCTATCACCTATCATGTGTGTAACTAACTGTGCATGAGTGACTGTGTGTGTCTGTATGTAAATGTATCTGTCTCTCTCTTTTGTGTGTGTGTATGAGTGTCTGTCTCTTGTATGTATGTGTGTGTATGTCCAAAACTTTAATCTCTTAATTCTGTCATTATAATGTCAGGGGGCCTATATATGCTTCTGCCTCTCTCCTATACACAGGTAGATAATTGTTTCAGATGCCTGTGTTGGTGATTATCACAATATCTAGCAAAAATGTTCCTGAAAACACATTGGATGTGACATGATGAATTTCTCATCCAGTCAGGAACATGACTCCTCTGATGCCCTCCAGCCGTGGGCAGGCTGCGCCGGTTTGTGAGGCTCTGTTAGTGGTTTTGGAGTCCTCTGGTAGCAGGGAAGTCAAATGACCACTCTTTCATTTGTTGCCTCACCCCTGTGTGATCAGGGTCTGAGGAGGAAAACCAGACAGGTACCTTCCATGCCCTCTGCGCCCTTCAGCCCTACATTAATGAAAGCACAAGGCTTCTGCCTGTGGCTCACCTGCATGGCTCCTAGAACCTCCTCATTCTCATGGTTGAGGCCAGTGGCCTGCTTTGCCTGGGCAGCTGCCTCCTGGAGGACAGCCCGCAGGTCCTGAAGTTTGGCTTCATAATCACTTAATGAATCCCGAATGTTGTTTAGCAGTCCGTTGTTCTCCACCTTGTGGCTTTCCAGCCATGTCCTGACCCGGTTCAGCACTACAACACATAATTCATGATATTTTACCTGAGAGATGAGTTTACTGGAGTGAGGTGCCAAATCTGCAGGAACTTCCTGCTCACTCCATGACAGACATTACCACAGCCTTGAGGGAACAGGAAGGCAAAGCACCACATACAGAGCTATCATGTGCATTCATGCACTGCCATGCTAAGCACGAGCACAGTCCTTCTCATGTTGCTGATGAGAAGACACACTCTAGGATAAATGGCCTTAGATGTAGGACTTGAGCAGAATAGGAAGTCATGGTTCTTTCGCTGCTAAAATCAAATATTAATGCTGATTAGCACAAATGCTACTTGTCAACTACAACTTGCATGTGTTCCCTAAATATATCATTTTAACAGAGAACAAATATCCATACTCAAAGATATGAGTTAAATTAATATGGTTATTTAACCCAGTGAGGCATTTTCTGAACTTAAAACCTTTACATATACCTAGCCAATTATTCAGATATGTGGTTTGGGGCTTTGTTTTATAACAATAGTGGCAATGTTAAGTTGTGATTTAAAAATTCAGCGGTAGTAAAGTAATAACTCTTAAAAATGGTTTAATAAAGCTAAGCTTGGTGGCTCGTGCCAGTAATACCAACGCTTGCGAGGCTGAGATAGTAGGATTGTACATTCAAAGCCATTCCAGAGTGCAGCAGGAGACACTATCTCCAAAGGGAGGGGCAGGAATAGTATTTGTGAGAAAACTAGAAAAGAGGAAACTGTCCCCCCAAAGAGGTGTGCACAGATGAGAGAGCCACTCTCGGTGGCTCATGTCTGCAGTGACAGCACCTGGAGGCCTGAAGCTGGAAGACTACCATGGGTTTCGACCAGCCTGGGCTAAAGTGTGAGACTTGGCCTCACAGAGAAAGAAGTGTGTGGGGGAGCGAGGCACAAATATTTGAGTTTTGGGATCGTTTTGAGGTCGTTTACACTGTGGTAGGATGTCATGCCCTTCAGAAACTTGGAGCAAAGGCTGGGCTCCAGGGACAGAAGGGGCACCCCATTCCTACGGCGGCCTCTAGCAGCAAGGTTTGTTGA